GGACCAGGCGGGCCGCCCTCCCGCTTTCCTGGGCTGCTTCAGGGACGTCTTCGTGGACTCGCACCTCGTGCTGCCCGCCGCCGCGCCGGAGGATTCGGGCACGCAGGCCAACGTCACGTTGGGATGCAGCGACAGGGACAAGTGTGACGACGGGCCCTGTCAGAACCGGGGCCGCTGCGTGAGCCTGGGCTGGAGGAGGCACAGATGTGAATGCCACAGACCATATGAGGGAAACAACTGTGAAGAGGGTAAGACACAGACTCATTTAGAGTCACCATTATATTGCCAATGGTCCAAACAAATTACATTAGTGGATCCATATTCTCTAAGATACAACAGAGAGCATCTAATACTACCAACACAAACATCTCTAGCATTACTACCCCCATGTGTAGGAAATACAGCACAAATGTTCTTAGACTTTTATTTGGATACGTTTCCACAAAAAAGAAAAAGATAATGCTTTTTTTTTTTTTTAATACAAGACTAATTTTGTGGTTTCAATAATAAAAACGCCATTTAGAGAAGCAGTTATAATTGGTAGCTCTTTTAACATTTGGTCATTTTAGCCATTGGTCCTATCATGTTAACCGTTTTGACCATTAGAGAGGACACTGTGATGATTCCATGTAGGCACGCAGTCTCTTCTGTGAGAGTGAGTTTGTTCTGCAGTTGTCATACGCGTAGAAAAGGTGTAAGGAGTCAAAATAATACTAAGAAAACCAGAGGGGAAAAACATGTTTACTCTTTAGTTAAAGTATAGTCGTTGGAAACCATTGTTTATCAAAATCCTAAGTAATTAACACCATTACTACTCCTCCAATAAATCATATGACAGACAATTGAATACTGTTTTTCCAGAGGAAAATCACACCACAGTAAACAGAATTACACGAGACAGGTTTGGTCACTGTCATGTCAAACGGCTCAGTGGATCTCTTTAAAAAGAGCCGCCCTGCTGGATAAAGTTATTTTAAAGGGGCTTATGGAGTTTGTAGAAATAGCCAAGTGTTCAGCCAAACGGCTTTTGAATTAGAAAGTACTCAGCAACACCTGCACCAAGGATTAATAAAACGTGGGCTTTGCCTGTTGACCAGGGATGGATTAAGCATGCCCACTGAGAGTCTTATGGACCGGTGCCATGGTGAGATCTTTGTCTTGACTGGTAGTTTTTGTTGTTGTTGTTGTTGTTGCTGTTGTAACAAACAGGGCCCAATGTTCTTTTAAAAAAAACAATCAGTCAAATAAATCTATCTATCTATCTATCTATCTATCTATCTATCTATCTATCTATCTATCTATCTATCTATCTATCTATCTATCTATCTATCTATCTATCTATCTATCTATCTATCTA